ATCCCGAGGACTGGCGCAGGGCGACTCCTGTGCGCCCAAGGTGCTCTGCTCTGTCTTGGCCCCGTGGGAGGTCGAGGGTGAGCAGTTCTTGTTCATGGACGATCGCTCGTTGGTCTGCGAATCGGACCAGCAGTTACGCAACGACATCGACACGACTGACCGTTTCGACCTCGAGACGGGGGCCGTGGAGAACAAAGGTAGGCGTCAAGAATGGCATCGTGGTGAGTTTCGTCGCATCGAGCATATCGGAGTCGAAGCGGTGCCTGATGATCCCACGGCCCCCGTCACCCCAGCGGGAGGTTGGAGGAAGGTGTATGCAGCCATCGCCGCTTTGCGACAGTTGCCTGGAAGTTCGAGGACTCGACTACGAGCTGCGGGTGCGTATGTTGTGCCGAGGTGGCCATGGTGTTGCCCTGTGTTCACGCTACCGCCTGCAGATGTGGCGGCGAAGCTTATGAGTTCAGTACTACGTACGAGATGTCTCTGGTGGTGTCGAGGCCGCTTTTGGGCCCTGCATATTCAGTACTATCCAGTCTTTTCAAATGTCCTGACGGCGGCCCGTCGTCTTACAGATTGGGAGAACGACTTCAACCCCTGGGTCGAGCACAACCTGCAGAACTTCTTCGAGGCTGTGGGCCTGGACTTCGTGCGGTGCGACACCGAGAGGGGGGTTAGATTTCAGATGCTGGAGGATGAGGATGATCCGAGAGTGAAGCGCATCTTCCAGAACCGTCGTGGGTTTTGGACTTCCGAAGGAGATCGAGCATTTCACGTTCTACGTGCTGTGTGTCGGCTGGAGGCTTTGACAAAAGCGACTTCGGCACGACGAGACTACCCTGGCATGGGGGACGTCGATGTGGAGGCCTTCTCGGGCAAAGCTTGGAAGAAGTTTCGTGATGCACTCGCCCCGAGTGAGTGGCAAAAGGTGATGAAATATATGTGTGGAGCGGCCAGCTCCCACACGCGCGGAGGAGATCATGACTTCACTTGTGACCCGTACTGTCCGTGCTGTGGCGAAGCTTTCTGGCCATCTGTACGTCACTGTGTGACGGAGTGTGCCGCTTTCGCGGATTTCAGAGAGCAGCTGACCGAGTTCTACAGTGTGCTTGTGAGCTGGTGGACCTCCCAACCGAGAGTCACGTCGAGCTCTGGGTGGATCACGTACGGCGCACATCGTGTAGCAGAACGCAGGTCAGAGTTGATGGTGATGCAAGTCCGAATGGGGATGTACTATGTGGCGACAGCCGATGGAATGCGACGACCTGAAAAACCGTATGCGAGGGGCCGACTCTTACCGTGAGATATCACTATTGCTAAAGAGTTGCGCTATGAATGCAAATGTCGAACGGATCTTGATCGATCTTGATATTATGTGTGCTGGGATTGTTTTGCTGTGCTTGAATTTCCGCATCCTGATCTTCGTGATATACTGATGTCTTGGGAAGTTGCAGTTATGATTATCTTGGCAATATGATGTTTATCCAGGTTCAAACTCATGATCGGTTGTTCCTGAAGTACACAAAACCCCCGCCCGCGAGACCAGCCCCAGTGTGGCGACTGCTGGGGGGCCTACCGCACTGAGTTGAAAAAAACATTCATATTCACATCTGTCACCGCTCAGGAGCGAAAGAGGGACGTACGCGCACATGAATCCAGGCTGGTTTCGAGAGCACGTGTGGCGCAGATGTTCGCATCGCGCGGCCAGTCTCGCGGATCGATGGGGCCGTGAGGTACGTAGCTGGGCGCGCGCGTCCTCTGCGGGCTCCCTCACCGCGCGCTCGAGAGCGAGCGGGGCCGAAGAAGGGCACGATATTGCGATAATTTCGGCGCCACCCCAACATAATGACTAATGACGTGTGCACGTCGCCCCCACATGGGCGACGCGCGCGCCGAGAAATCTTATTGTATATGCGCCGTGGCGGGCGCTTTCTGGCCCTGCCGCTCGGGAAACGCTGGGCTGCAAATTAGTTGTCTTTATGTGTCGGGGTCGGGCGCGCGCCCCCGAGACGCGGTGCTGGCGTGTCCTTGTGCGACCCACGGGTTCCCGGAGATCCTCGCGAACTTCCTGGATCGGCGCTGGGCCTCCCTGGCGGCGCCTCTGAGGCCGCCCACGGCGCGCTCCGCGCGCCAGCCAGCGGGGCCCTGGAAAACCGCGCGGAGTTCCGACGATTAGTGCTTGGGGAGGAAGGCCTCCGAGGTGCAATGTCTGCTCACGGGGGCATCGGGCGCCGACCTTGGGAGCAGTTTTTCCAGCATTTAGATTGCATGTTGGACCGCATTTGGCCATTCCCCCATCCTGCTCCTCCTTCCCCATCCTCGTTTTTCTCGTCTCCCTTGCGCAAGGGGCGAATCTGGTCCAAATCCTGTCCAAATATGGTCCCAAATGTGTTTCAAATCCAGTCCAAATCAGTTCCGAATCGGACAGCCCATCCTCTCCTTCAAGCCTGGGCGACCAAGGCGCCTCCGGAGGAGCGACGCCTTTGCCCGTGCTTGCCCCCCGCACCTCTCCCCCACCCCGCGCAAGATATCATCCGCAGACTGGCGCGCCCCAAGTCGCTACGGACCGCGGCGGGGAACGAGACTACGAGGGGGGGGTGCACTCAATGCGCATAGTAAGGACGTGCGCCTTTTCTAGGGTACCTCTGCGCCCATGCCACTGCGGCCCGTTCTTTACCATTTTCACTGGTCGCCCGTCGCTGAAAAATCCCGACTTCGGCCTCCAAGGGTCTTGCGCCCTTGCCACCCATCCTTAAGCTACGTCTTCACTGTAACCTGCCACGGGGCCCTCTCCTCCTCCTCCTCCTCCTCCTCCTCCTCCTCCCTGGCGCGTCCGCGGATGCCCCTGGCCTCGCCTGGAGCTGCTGATGCGATTCATGTTGACAGCGCGCGTGCCGCCTTCCTGTGCGGCCTCGCTGTCCCGAGCTGCCCGTCGCCGTGCCAGGGCGCGGTGCACGGCGGCGCGCCATGCGCAGGCAGCGGCTGGCGCCATCGTCGCCCTGCTGCAGCCACGGGACCCGGACACGCCGGCTGTGGACAGGGCTCCACGCATGGACGCGCTGGAGACGCTCACCAGCCTCTCCGCGGCCGCAGGGGCCAATTTGGCTGCGCAACGGATCCGCACCGCCGCCACGGTGCGCACGCCCCTTCGTGGCCAGGCTGCTGTATACTACCCTGCTGGCCCTCTCGCCTCGCTTGACATTGACGGCTCCGACGACTTTGCCTCGCGCTTGTCGGGCAGTGGCGTCGATACGGGTCGTGGGGGCGTTGTCCTTGGAGCCGCGGTTCTGGGTACTACTCGCGCTGGCCGTTCTGCTGCTGTCCCACGTCGTGGCTTTCTCGAGGACCATCGCCGTGAAGTGCGTGACGGAGTCCGTGATGTCTTTCCTCTTGGAGGTGCAGCTGATGATTCTCAGGCCGTTCATCGATGCGACGAAGTGTGCCCGCAATATGGTCGTGGTGCTCGTGTCGACGCCGTTCATGGACCCCCTGATGGCGTTCCTCCTCGCCCAGTTCCTGGGCCGCGTGGGCGAGTTTTTGGCCCGCGACCATGGCGTGGCGATCCTCGGCCACTCCCTGGGCCTCCTGGGCGCGTCTTCAAGGTTGGGCCCCAAAACATTGTTCGAGATGCCATCCCTCGTCGAGTCCCTGGGCCTCGCGGGCGTCTCTTTCGTGCTCGGCCGTGGAATGGTGCTCTTCGCCCGCTCGTCGGACCTCGAGGGCGCGCGTTCAAGGCTGGGCCACCACTCAATGGCACCAAATTGGCACGAGAGGGTCTCGAGGTACTCAGCGGCGGTACTGCTTCCCACGTCGATGCCTATAGAACCGCTCTCGCTCATGGTGCGGCGGCGGAGACCACAAGCGGCGGTGACCACTTCAATGACATGGCGTACAAGTGGGCGTTGTGCGCAGAAGGCCTACTGGATATTCTCTGCCGCCCTAAGCCTAGTCAGGTGGACGATGATGCGCCGACGAGTGCTGGGCCGCCTTGGACAGGATGCCTAGGCACTGCCTCAGATGACGTCAGGTGCTCGCTTCGCCGTGACCTTTGGCCCCAGCGACCAGGGAGGGGCTTCGGTGGGCCCCCCTCGCCTGGAGGGGGGCACAGCCTGGCGGATGGCGCGAGCTGTGCCGTCCCAGGTGATGCCGCACACCTGGTCCGCGGGCAGGAATCTAGAGGGAGTGGCTTCGGTGGTCCTCCTGCATTTTGTGGGAGGCACGGCCTGGAGGATAGCACGAGCTGTGCTGTCCCAGGTGACGCCGCACACCTCTGCTCCCAGGGAGTGGCTACGGTGGACTCCCCTCGCGTCGAGGGGGGCACAGCCTGGAGGATAGCGCATAGCACTGTCCCAGGTGATGCCGCATACCTGTCTGGAGCTCTGGGCTGACGCTTTCCTGCGTGCTTTCGCTAAGGCCGCGACGCGAGAGAGGTGCACCATCCTGAGTGCACCCCGCGTCGGCACCTTCGGCCTTGTCACTGCTATCTTCCGTCTGTGCAGCTGGTGCCCGTGATCCTTTAGGTGGGGTCCCAGCTTTTACGCAGGCCTGCCAGGCTGCTAGCAGCTTGGCGCCTCAGGAGGGCGATCGTGCACCGCGCGACGCTTCCCTTGGCAGTGCCGTATCCTATTCCTGCTCCTCCTGCTCCTCCTCCTCCTCCCTCTCCTCCTCCTCCTCCCCTCCTCCTCCTCCTCTCCTCCTCCTCCTCCTCCTCCTCCTCCTCCTCCTCCTCCTCCTCCTCCTCCTCCTTCTCCTCCCCCTCCTCCTCCTCCTCCTCCTCCTCCTCCTCCTCCTCCTCCTCCCTCTCCTCCTCCTCCCCCTACCCGAGCAGCTGGCGCAGGCATTTTCTTACCGGGAGGGCGAACTGTGCCGGGGACCTGCCCGACGCGCGAGTGCACGTTCGTTCCGCTGCTGCGCGGGGGGCCGCGCGAAGCGAGGCCACTGAGGGAAGCACCGGCCGGGTACGCGCACCAGCCGCTCTCGGGGCGCGGCAGCGGATTCTCTGCTGAGGCTGGTGTGCGGCCACTTTTTCCACGAGGAGTGCATCGGGCCCTGGTTTCAGAAGGCCCCGCATCGCTTCGCCGATCCCCATCCCCACTGGACCACGGCATCCCAGCCCCACCAGCCCACGTCCCACGGGTGGGGATGGGCTCCGCGACGCCCGAAGGGAACAGCATGTCGGAGTGAAGGGGCCGAACGGTCATGGACTGTCCTTGGGCGAGTGGCTAAAGTGGGGTTCCGCGGTGCGGATCGTTTTGGCGTTGTTACTATTGTTGTTGATGTTGTTGATGTTGTTGATGTTGATGCTGTTGTTGTTGTTGATGATGTTGATGCTGAGGTTGTTGTTGTCGTTGTTATTGTTGTTGTTGTTGTTGATGTTGCTGCTGCTGTTGTTATTGATGTTGTGATCGTCGAACTCTCACCACTGAAGAATAAGCATTGTTGAGTTGCCTTTCCTGGGGCTCGCACCCTGTTTTTTACAAGGGAAGGCTGTCCTCCTCAAACTGTGTCCCTGGTTACCGGTTTACAACAACAGCAACAACAACCACAACGGTTACCGCTTGTTATTCATTTGCAGTTTACTGAGGGATCGCGCTCTCGCTAGGAATTTCCTTGCACTGTATCAAAGGATCGCGCTCTCGCCTGTGCCTTCCTCACAATGTATTCAGGCGCCACGCCATCGCCATTCAGGAATCGTGCTCTCGCCTGTGACCTGGAATCGCGCTCTCGCCCAAGACTCCCTGGCGAATTATGCAGGACCGACGCGCTCGCGTAACACACGTGCTTTTCAATTGAAGCGCCCCCCCGGGGCTCGCTGTGTTTAGACCGGGGGCAGTCTTCCCGCTCAAACTGTGCCTCTGGCCTTCAATTTACGACGACGGCTGCTCCAGCACAGCCTTTCCCCACAATTCATTCCCGAATCGCGCTTTCGCGAGGGACTTCCTCATAATTTCATGCGGCAATCACGCTTTCGCGTGGGACATCCTTGCAGCTGATTCAGACGCCACGCCGCCCATAGCTGTTGCTGATCCCCCCCCCCGGCCCCGTAACCAGTGTGTATCTATCAATTCAAGTGCTTCCCCCCGTGGCTCGCACCCGGTTTTTCTTGCAAGGGAGAGCGCGGTGTCACCAAAGTGCGCCCTTGCCCCCCTGTTTGCAGCAACAGCCCGTCCGGGACTTCCTCACAGTGTATTCCCAAGTCGCGCTCTCGCGCGGGACGTCCTCACAGTTTGTGCAGGAGCCACACTCTTACGTCGAACTTCCTTCCAATGTATTCAGACACCGCGCCCTCGACATTCCGGAAGCACGCTCTCACTACACGCACGATCGCGCTATCGCGAAAGAAATCCTCGCGATGATTCAGCAAACACACTTCAGCAACCCGCCTGCTCGACCTGGCCGCCTTGGCCCGCCTTCCAGACCCGCCCGTTAGGGTCTATACCCGCCCGATCTGCTTTCCTGGTTCTGCCACGTGGTTTCTGCTCCCAGCCCCCCTCCTGCTGCTCTCTCTCGTGCTCCATCCTCCTTGCTCCCCCTTGTTCCTTCCTTCCTCCTTTCCTCCGCTTTCCCCCTTCCCCCTTGTCCATCCTCCTTTTTCATCCTGTCCTTTCTTTCCCCCTCCCCCTTGTCGCGTGTTTTCTGTTCCTAGCCCCCGTTCTGCTATTTTCTCTCGTGCTCCATCTTCCTCCCTCTCCCTTGTCCCTTCCTTCCATCCGTCCTCTGTTCCACTGCCTCAGGGGCTGCTCGAAATACACGTTGCAGGCAAGAAAGATACATACCCCGAAGGGGGTACGATCGAAGACGAAGAAGGCGGGTATGGAGGGTTTGGTATATACGTGTTGAAGGGCCCGCGAGCAGGTAAGAGCGAACAGTCTGAAATTGAGTGTTTTTGTCGTTGTTGTTGTTGCTGATGCTGCTGTTGTTGTTAAGCTTGTATGTCTAAATAATAATTGTTATTGATCACATCTGCCCGGTAGCCATGTTATTTTCTTGTGAAAGTGTTTCTCCCGGGGATCGCACCCTCTTTTCTACAAGGGAAAGCGAGGTGTCACCAAATTTGGTGTTTGGGCCCCGAACTACAACAACAACGGCACCCTCCTGATATCTTCTCGCAACGTATCCCCAAATAGCGCTCTCGCGCTGGATTCTCCCTAACAGTATCAATACCGGAGGATCCCACAGGATTCTTGAGGATCCCAAAGGATTCCAAAGGACTTCAGAGGATGTCTAGGAATTCCTTAGAATTCCAGGGGACCCCAGATGAATTCGATGGGTTCCTGAGGAATCAAGATGATCCCAAAGGATTCCCAAGAGTTCAAGAGAACCCCAAAATGATTTCTGAAGATCCCAAAGGATTCCAAAGGACCCTACAAGATTTACAAGGACACCCAAGGATTCCAGAGTATCCCAGATGAGTATGACGGATGGCGATGATGTTGTCTATGATGGTGGTGGTTTTGATACAGATGGCGATGGTGATGTTGGTGATGGTGATAGTCATGGTGGTGGTGGTGATGATGGCGATGACTGTGCTTGTAGTGATTACAATGGGGCGGATGCGGTCAGGCGTTGCGATGGTCGTGGCGGTGGTGGGGATGAGGATGATGAAAACGATGAGGAGGATAAAGAGAAGCAGCATAATGTGGAGGCTGAAGTTTAATGTCGTCTTATTGTGCACCTCTCATCCTCAGGTGTCGGTTTCGAACAGCCGTGCTGGGGACGATGATGGTGTTGATGGTGATGTTATTGTTGATTGTGTTTAACTTGATGATGTTGAAGCTGATAACGATAACGAAAGGGATGATTGGGATGGCGATGATGACGATGATGAAAGTGATGATGGCGATAATGATTACCAGGGCGATGACGATGACGATGATGATGCTGCTGCTAAGTATGAGCGCGATCGCTGTGAGTATGGTGGTGATGAAGATTTCGTTTGTGCGGGTGTTGATGGTGATGGCGATGGTGATGGCAGCGATAATCGGGATGTGGGTGGTGATGATGTTGATGGTGGTAGTGGTGATGGTGATGGTGGTGGTGGTGGTTTTTGGGGATGACGCGGAGGCCGGGGAAGAACATGATGATGAGGAGGAGGAGGAGGAGGACGGCAGTTGCGCGTGCCACCTTGTATCCCAAGGCTTCGGAGGGCCGTGCTGAAGATTACACAGAAAAAGGATTGTGGGGATGAGCAGGAGTGGGCTGGTGGTTCTTGCCAACGAATCCCTGACAAGGATCCCGTCGCAAACTTTCTTTGTAGGACCCCCCCGCAAGACATCATGAGGAATCCTGAGCCCGGAACCTTCAGGAAACTTGAGGATCGGGTCTTTCGTAAGGAATGCTTGGTAATGCGTCCTTAGTCAGGAACCTTTCGTAAATAATCCGGAGTAAGGAATCGTCAGTTAGGATTCTTTAGTCAAGGATCCTTGGTCAGGCGTCCTCAGTAGGGGTCCTCAGTAGGGGTCCTTCGTGAGGACGCGTTGGTAACATATCCTTCGCCGAGAATCCTGAGTGAAGAATCTTTAGTCGGGAATCCTCAGTGCGGAAGTCATAGTGGGAAATCCTAAGTATGGGATCCTTCGTGAGGACTTCTTGGCGAGAAATCCGCAGTCGGAGCTGTAAGTAAACACTTCTGGCTGAGGAATGTGAGATGCGGAGGCATGACAAGACGTTCTTCGGACGGAATCTTCACGATGGAAGACGCCAGAGGCATAATTCCTAAGGAAGGAATCCTTTATGTAAGGAAGCCTTGTTAAGGATTCCTTATATGGGGATCGTTAAGAGGGACTCCTCAATCGGGAGTTCTCCATACAAATGGTTTCTTCGTAAGGCGTGTCCAGCCTGAAAGCTTTACTACGGAAATCTATTAAACAGTCCTTGCTCACAGCCGCTACATGGAATTAGTTAACACTGATCTCTTGGTAAGGAACCCTTAGCCTGAGAAAGAAGAGTCCTGACCAGGAAACTCTTAGTAAGGAGTCCTTGGACAATCTGTAGAAAAGAGTCCTGGGTAAGATTGTTTTTAATTTCAAAAAAAAGAGTAAAGGACTCACAGCAGACAATCAGTTTTCAGGGATCCTCAGGCAGGATTGTTTACGCCAGGTTCCCGAGTCATGAACCCGCAAGCGAGGAATCATTAGCATTCGCGAGTTTGTAAGACATCTTTTTGCAGGGAACTTTTTTCATAAGAAGTCCTTGGTGGGTAACCCTTAGCCGGAACCTCAGCAAGGGTATCGTAGTAAGGAGTCTTTCGTCTGGAAGCTTCCGAAATGAAATCTCGGTAAGCTGCTATGCGTAAGGATTGCTCTGGTACCGATTCCTCAGGGGAGCCTTCGTAAGGAATCCCGGATCGGGCATCTTCAATACGGATTTGGGCATTATTCTTGGGAAATCTTGAGGAAGGAATCCTGCGTAAGGACTGATTCGTTCGCTTTCTGGTGCTGGGATTTTGATCTATATATATATATATATATAGATAAGGGGCCCTCTGAGTGCGCTCTTGAGCCACCTTGGGGATATCTTTAGGCGCCTTGGGAGCGTTCGTGAGGTATTTGGACGGTCCGGGGGATGCCCTGAAGGACTCCTTCGGGGTCTCCTCCGATGCCCCCTGGAGACCCTGGAATTAGGTGTGCCCCATCCCTTGTGGGTTTTTCCGCGTCATGTAATAAGGATAAGGAATACAACGGTTTCCTTATCCAGAGGTCCCTCGCGGGTAAGCGCTACCAAGAATAAAACAGAGATCTGTGGTACAGAATCTTGCGTACGTAACCACAGATAACAGATCCCACAGTCAGGCAATCTAGTTTTTCAGAGGAATCCTTGGTCGGGAATCCTCAACCCGTGATCTTTATCAAGCAAAATTAAGAAGGAGCCCTCAGTGATCAATCCTTCCTGAGGGTTCCTTGCTAGGAAATCCTGGGCTTGGATTTATTCGTAGGAATCCTTCGTGCGGGCTCCGTACGGACATCTGCAGTAAGGAATCCTTCGCGAGGAGGTCTGAGCTAGAGATCCTGAGGGTCTTTTACCCACGTTTCCTTAGTAAGGATTTCTTATTCAGTCTCCCTTGCGAATGAATCCTTTTGATAGTTCCTTACTGGGGGATCCCGCTTCGGGATTTTTTTACCGCGGGTGCCTTACACAGGAAACAATTACTAAGGATACCTTTGTATCGATTTCCCATTAAAGATTTCTTCTTCTGGGCCCTATTCAGGAATCCCTCATAAGGACTTCTGCCTTCGAATCCCCACGTCATGGGTTTTTCATGGAGGAGACCTTCGTAAGGATAAACCAATTAGGATTCTTAACTTAGATATGTTTGTTATGAATTCTTTATTCAAGATTTCCGGCTGAGGATTCCTTGCTAAGAATCCGTTAAACAGTGGTTCTTGCATACAAGTTCCCCATCTAGATTTCATTGGATTTCTGTAGAACTCTTGTCGGGGAGCTACGCTGGTGCACGCATGCGCTATCGATGGGGAAGCGTTGATGGCCATTCGCAATGTAAGCGATGGACAGCGGTAGGCTTGCTGGGTTTGCCCCTCGGGGTTTTCAAGTCCGCCTCGACCCCGGGGGGGGGGAGGGCAAACCCCAGCGCCCCAGGCACCGTGGCTGTCAAAACCGCCTCCTCCTTGTTGTTGTCGTCGCCCCCGCCCTCGACCCACCCCGCGACCCACCCGCGACCCACCCACATTGCTTTGATGAGAGTTCGGCTCTTGCTGCGGGTTCGTTGCGCAATGCATGTAAATTTGGCTTTCTCAGAGCTTCTCAGACTGCCGACGACCGCGCCGCCCGTCATTCTTGTCCGCAACTGCGGGATGCCGCGTATCAGATCCCCGATCTAGGGGGCGAACCAAGGCGGCACCATGGCCATGCCCAGTGGGGATTGGGGATCGGCCCAACGATGCTCAAAGGCCCCGATCTGCCCCATGTGCAAGCAGGAGGCCTAGGTCCGAGCCCGAGCCGCTCCTCCTCCGCGCTGTGGCTTCTCTGCGGGGACGCGCTCTTCGTACCGCTCGCCCGCAGACGAATCCAGTGAGCGGCCCGGACTGCGCCCGAGTGTTCTGCACGTTCGGGGCCGTGTGTTAGGCTGACGAAGCGTGCCGATATCGCTAAAGCTGCCTCGTTCTACCCCTCCGTGGGCCTCCCGGGAGGCCCCCGTCGCCGCCGTGGGATTCGCTTCGACACTCTGGTCAGAGCGCCCTGGGAGATGTCCGGGGAATAGCGGCATCGGCTCCCTGCTGGGCATCCCCACGCGAGGTGGGGAGGTGGGCTCAGGAAGGGACGCGTCGAGCCCGCCTCGCCCATGGATCGCCGGCGGGGGCCTACTGGCTCACCCCTCCGCGGCTGCGTGCAGGCTCGCCACCGGGGACCCATCGCCGCTCCGCCGGCGAGGCACTGCCGCTTCCAGGTCGAGGCGTCCCCACCTGGGCCACCGCCCCACTTCCCAGACCCCCTCGGGCAATGAAAACATCATGACGAACGGTGTTTTGCTATGTTCGGCCTCTGGGGGCCCTCGCCAGCCCTCGGGACCGTCGCAAAACGACTCAGGATGAAAAGCCGGTCCAGGGGAATGGGTCGAGACCTCCCGGGGTCGACGTTGTGAAAAAGCATGACGTCGGGGGTCTGGGTTGGCAGCTCCCAGGCTCTGTCTAAGAAGGCCCCTGCCTTCCAAGAGAAGCGCCGCCGCCTCTGTAGTACTCGGGGCCACCCTCTCGGGGGCGCCTTAAAACGCCGCCGACGGCGGATATGGCGACGACGACTCCGGCGACGACGTCGACGACGACTCCGGCGACGACGTCGACGACGACAATGCCGAAGCCGACGCCGACGCCGACAATGACGCCGCGACGCCGACGACGCCGACGACGACGACGACGACGACGACGACGACGACGACGACGACGACGACGTGTGGCCGCAGTGTGGCCGCAGTGCGTGGGCGCCCTGTGCACCTTCCCCCACGGGGGCCAGCCCCCCCCCCTTCGCGTTCTCGTTGCGCCCAGACCTCCGGCGCTCTGTCACCGTGGCCTCGTCACGGCGTGGGCTCCATCGCCAAGGGGGATACGTTGAGTCGGGCATGTCCCTCTGCAGGGGGAATCTGCAAAAATAGGCAACAAGTCATTTTCGGACGATTTTGTGTGACTTTTTGTGCCAGCTTTCGCCCGAAATCCACCTGTAGGAGGACTTGCCCGACCTAAGGGAAGCGGCACCTGAGGGCAACGGGCCCTGAGGTTTTTCTGCGTTTTCGGGCTCTCGGGGCCTGTGGTGGTGCTCGAGTGGGGGAGACCGACAGACAGACTCCGTCTCCCCCTCCCCTCCACTTCCGCCTCCCCCTCCTCCTCCTCCTCCTCCTCCTCCTCCTCCTCTTCCTCCTCCTTCCTGCGTCTCGCCTCCATCGAAGAAGGGAAACTTGCGCGAACATACACTTCCAGAGGTCCGTTCGGCTTGCCTGGATCTGTGCCGGATCTACCTGGCAGCGCTTCGGGCGCCGCTCTTGGCGCGGTCCGCGCGCCAGGACAGGGACCCCCGCGCCGACCCAAGAGATCCGTCCGGACCTGCAAACGTTTACATAGTCATGACGCTGAAGTGAGGACCCGTCTGGGCTCAGGGGAGTCTTTTGTTTTCGGGCCACTCCTCAAGTCTAGGTTTAGGTCGGGTATGTCCTCCTACAGGCGGATTTTGGCAGAACAATGAAACATAGTCAACAAAAAACAATCATAGTCAAAAGTAATCGAACAATCGTCCCCTGATATTTTTTGACTATATTCCTCCTGGAGAGGCATTCCCGACTTAAGTCTATGGGTGTGGGCGCTTGTGAGTGGTCGAGGCACGCCGTGACCACCAGCAAAGTCCCGTCGCTCCTTGCTCAGCGCCCGTTGGGGCAGCGCGACGGGCGTGTGTTTGCACAGCTCTCTCTCCTTCGTCTCTTCCGCTGCGCCTGCCAGTGCGCGGTGGAGTGCCTGGGCCCTCTCAACCGGGCACGAGCAGTGACAGACACAGGAAGAGTCGGAGGTCCGCGCGGATTCCTTGGATCGGCCCTGGGGCCCCCTGGCGGCGTCTCCGGCGCCGCCCCTGGCGGCGCCTCCGCGCGCCAGGGAGGGGGATCCAGCGCGGCAAGAAATCCGCGCAGAGCGTCCACAGTTTATATGCTTATGGCGTTCTTTCCCGATCGGTGCTTGCACTGACGGGGTCCTAGCGGAAATTGAAAGATCTGGCGAAAGTTGTCCGCCGATTTTGGTGGCCGGCTGGGTTCCCGAGTTCCGGGTTCCCGGGTTTTAATTATTGGTTCCGGCCGATTCCAGTGGGTTCCGGGTTCCAGGGTTCCTGGTTCCCGGTCGATTCTTTCATCGATCCCACGATTCATTATCGATCGCATGTCGGGCCCAACGAAAGGGGGGGATAGGGAAAGGGGGGGGGTACGAAATCTGCTGCATGCAGCTGGTTTCGGCCCCGCCGCCAGGCCCCTTCCTCGATGCATGGGCCTCCGGGCGCCGGGAGGCGCTGGGAGAATCAGCCACGTGAGCTGATTCTCGAACCCCCCCTTTGCTATCCCCCCTTTCGCCCGGCCCAAGCATGATCGATCTCACTATCCGTTCCATTCATCCACTGATTGAGTTTCTTCTCTGGCGCAGTTCTGTTTATGTCATTGTTCGTTCCCGTGCTCTCGTGCTCCGCGGCCTCTCGCGGGCGCGTCGCCTGGGAGCTTCGGCCCCTCGGCACCTGCCGCGCGGGCGCTGAGGCCGCGGCTCCCGCGGCCCCGCGGCGACCCCCTGGGCCATGCCTCGCCGGGGCCCCTGGTCAAGGCATCGATGGGGTCCAAGCAGATGGGGTCGGAGGATCGCGCCGCATGGGCGATGCATCGGCGATGCGGCTCGATGTGGAGCCCGGCGTCGCCGATGCATCGCCGAGGCATCGGCGATGTATCGCTGAAGTATCGGCGATGCGGTGCGATCCTCCGACCCCATCTACTCCGACCCTATCTAGGAGGCCTCTATCTGGGGCCGAGGAGTACAGTCGGGGTGCTGAAGAAGGAGCCCTATTCGTTGGGGAGGGGCTCGGTGATCCGTGATCGTTCCACACCTTGCCGAGGGTTTTCCTTTTGGTTTCGATGGGAAGTCGAAGTTTAACTTTGAGAAAAAATGGGCCTCGTTCCTTCCTTAGGTCAACGCCCCGACGGTACAACACTGCGTGAGCCTAAATTGTCGGAGCTCCGCGCGGCTATTTCTTGGGTCGGCGCTAGGGAGTGGGGGCCCAGCGCCGATCCAAGAAATCCTTGCGGACCTCCTAGAAAACATATTCATGCTGTTGTGGATTCCTTTGTGGGGACTTTCGCCAGGGGATCTCCAGGGCGTATGGGGCCCTGGAAACGACAGGTAAGTGTGTTTACTGTTTTAGTTTTGCAGTCTGTTTGTGCGGTTGCCAGCGCTGTTTTTGTTTACGAGTCCGGCGTCATTGTTGTCGTTTCTCATGGCTTGGGCCTGGTCTAGTTCAGTTTTCTACCGGATCGGAACCGTTTTCGAACCAGTTCCGAGCGTCTTTCGGATCCCAGGATTGCCCAGGCCGTTTCGGTGGACCGTTTTTTCCACCGTTTCGGTGGCCCGTTCTTTTTGGCGGTTTCACGATCAAGAGGGTGCTTCGTGAGAGCAGCCAAATATAGGCCTTGCCTTTCCCAAGTCCCTGCGGAGAAGCTCCAGAGGCTTCCTTGTTTGTAGGATCGACGTAACACGCAGAGCGGCCGCCGCGGCGTGATGACGTTTGGCGGCGTAGGCTTGGTTTGCAAGTTCACGGGCAGGTCCTCGACTGCTCGCGACGATACGAATCGGGGCGCGACTGTTGCTCGGAGGAGGAAGGGGTCCCCGCCCATTTTTTCTGTATTTTTGGGGGACTTCTGGGTGGCCCTGGCCGCCACGGCTGGATTCGCCTCGAAGTCCTGGTCAGAACACGCCCCGGGAGAGGTTCGGGGAGTAGCGGTATCGGTGCTTCCTGGCTTGCCCAGAGGAGGAGGAGGAGGAGGAGGAGGAGGAGGAGGAGGAGGAGGAGGAGGAGGAGGAGAGAGGAGAGGAGGAGGAGGAGGAGGAGGAGAGGAGGAGGAGGAGGAGGGAGGGAGAGGAGGAGGAGGAGAGGAGGAGGAGGAGGGAGGAGGGAGGAGGAGGAGAGGAGGAGGAGAGGGAGGAGGAGGAGAGGAGGAGAGGAGGAGGAGTTGGAGGAGGAAGGAGGAGAGGAGGAGGAGAAGGAGGAGGAGGAGGGGGGAGGAGAGGAGTTGGAGGAGGAGGAGGAGGAGGAGGAGAAGAAGAAGGCGGAGGAGGAGTTGGAGGAGGAGGAGGAGGAGGAGAAGGAGTAGGAGGAGAAAGAGGAGGAGGAGGATCGATCGATCGAGCCGTGGGGACGAGGTTCGCTGCCTTGTGTCAGTGGGTAGCTTGATAAAATACTTTCGAATCGTCCTAGCTGGTTTCGCTTCGTACGCTGGGTGAGCTGGCGCCAATAAGCGCTCGGGCCCTACCCGGACGAGGAGGAGGAGGAGGAGGAGGAGGAGGAGGAGGAGGAGGAGGTGGTACCTTCTGGTTGCCACTGCAGCCCCCCCGAAGCTGGGCGGTGCGGCCACGCTGGCATGGAGGGCGCCAGGATGGACCAGAGGGGAGGAGGGCCAGGGTCCCGGGTCTTCGAAGAAGCGACCTTTTCAATTCTGGTGTTGGTCCCCGAATTCGGCCTCTGGGGCGGGTGGTCGGTCCCCTGGACCATCAAACTTTTGTTTGTCGGCGGTGAGGCAGAGGCAGTCCGCTCCAGCGTGTGGCTATTGGGGCAACCGACAGGCGAATTGACCGGCGTGCAAGAGGCCCCAGGACCAAACATGCATGCGGGATGCAACACTACCTTGGGCGAAGGGGTCGGGATTTGCGGGGCCGCGCATTGAATAAACACATCGTCGGATGTCTGGGGTGAGGGGGAGGAGGAGTAAGAGGAGGCGATAGTTCTAGGCCTCCCAGACGGGGTCCGAGTAGATGGTGTCGGAGGGTCCCACGGCACCGCCGATGTATCGGCGATGCAGCTCGATACGGAGGCTGATTTTCGCCTCGCCGACGATGCATCGCCGATACATCGATGATGCCTTGGCGATGCGGCGCGCTCCTCCGACCCCATTTACTCGGACGCCAGTTGGGAGGCCTCTCATAGTACCAGCGAGCTCCGCTGTTTTCCATTCGCCGGGGCTGACGTTCATGCCTTGCTCTTGTTTTTTGTTGTTGCGTCGCGCTTCGTGCTCTCTGGCCTGCTCGCTCCTCGCTCTGCCCTTCGCCCTCTGGCATGTATTCTTCCCATTATGACTCCTCGCGTGTGTCCTCTGTCGTCCTCCTGCTGTACTGAACCTGGACAGGACGTCCTCACTAAGTGGCAGCGGCAGCGCAGAGGCTGCGAGTCATGGTCGCCGCGGGCCATGGAACTTTCAGTGGCGCAACTCGAACGATTGACCCAGACTGAAAGACATCACTCCTTCGGCTCATACATCCCCATCTCCTCCACCCCCTCCTCCTCAGCGACCCTCCCTCGCCTCCCCTTTTCTGTTCCCTCCTCCACTCTCCGTCTGAACCCCTTCCTGCTTCGGCATAAACATAAACGGCATAAGCATAAACTTTCGGCGCTCCGCACGGATTTCTTGGATCTGCGCTGGGCCCCCCCGGTGGCGCCGCCCCTGGCGCGCTCCGCGCGCCAGGGAGGGGGGCCCAGCGCAGATCCAAGAAGTCCGCGCGGAGCGACAGCAGTTCATGTTCATGCAGGTTTTTTCGATGCTCGATCCTCCCTTACTCGTCCCGGCTCTTCCCGTCTGCTCGTTTAGGGTTTAGGGTTTAGGGCTTAGGGCTTAGGGCTTAGGGCTTAGGGCTTGCTCGATTCTCCCTTACTCTCCCCTACTTCCCCATCCTCCCTTCTGCTTTCTCCTGCGGCCCTGCCCGCGCGCCGCCGCACTCCTGCCTGGTTATGGCCATGGCGCGGCCGGCACGCGCGGGGAGGGTCTGCTCTGGGAGGGGGCGCGCGCTTGCCCGGCAACCGCTCCCGAGCCGCCCTCGATCCAGAACGGCGCCTGGAGGAGGGAGAGAGGGAGGGAGGGAGGGAGGGAGCAGGATGAGGGAGGAAGAGGAGGGAGGAGCAGGAGGAGGAGGAGGAGGATGCAGGAGGAGGAGGAGGAGGAAGAGGAGGAGGGAGGAGGGGGGAGGGAGGGGGGAGGGAGGGAGGGAGGGAGGAAGGAAGGAGGAAGCACAGCCCTGGGGGTCGCCAGCGCACCCCGCGGCGCAGGCAGCGCGCGGTCAGGATGGCGAACAACGAGTGCGGGGAGCCGTGCGCAGGCTCGGGCGCGGGTTTCGTCGCCGTCGTCGTTGGCGTCGTCGGCGTCGTCGGCGTCGTCGGCGTCGGCGTCGGCGTCGGCGTCGGCTCCGGCGTCGTCGGCGTCGTCGGCGTCGTCGTCGGCATCGTCGGCGTCTTCGGCGTCGCCGTCGGCGTCGTCGGCGTCGGCGTCGTCGGCGTTGTCTTCGGCGTCGGCGTCGGCACAGGCATCATCGGCGTTGTCGGCATCGTCGTCGGCGTCGTCGTCGTCGTCGGCGTCGTCGGCGTCGGCGTCGGCGTCGGCGTCGGCGTCGTCGTCGTCGTCGTCGGCGGCGTCGGCGTCGGCGTCGGCGTCGTCGGCGTCGGCGTCGGCGTCGTCGTCGTCGTAGTCGTCGCGCGGGACTGGGACTCGAGCACTTCGCGCTGCTCGTGTCCTCCATCTCCTGCCCTCCTCCGAGGAGGAGGGAAAGGTTCCCATACCCTTACCCGTCTCCGTTTTTCCCTGTCTGGAGCCTCCTGGGAGGCTCATCTCGTCGCCACCGCCGGATGCGCATCGAGATCCGGGTCAGAACGCAACCCGGGAGAGGTCCGTGGGGTATTGTGGTCTTCTCTTCCTCCTTCCTCCTCCCTCTTCTCCTTCTCCTTCCTCCTCCCTTCCGTTCCCTGGTATGTTCCCTTCCGCTCCCTTCCTCCTCCCTCTTCTCCTTCTCCTTTCTCCTTCTCCTTCTCCTTCCTCCTCCCTGGTGTGGGCACGTTGGGGTCTTCTCCTCCTCCTCCTCCTCCTCCCTTCCGTTCCCTGCCCTCGCCGTCCTGGGCACTGGCGGCGCCGGGCCCGATGGTCGGAGCTGATCGCCCTCCGCCTCCTCCTTCGTCCACCTTTCTTTTGATTTGTGAGTCCGTAGACAGCAACCAGCCATCTTGATCCCAGTATAGAAGAGGTAGAAACATAATAGGTTCACACGTTGTCAAACAGTTATGATTAGTTGCTAATCATAGGTTTGACAAGCGTCTACAAGTTTGACGCCTGTCAAACATGAAGACTGCGCTTGTAGCGCTCTTGAAGAGAAACAACGGCGCCAAACTCAGGCGGAGTGAGCGAACGACAGATGCCGCGGACGGGTGCTGCGAAGGTCAGGCACAGAGTAAAGCAAGGAAAAGTGGCCCGACAGGGCGAGAGTAACCCAGTCCGCGGCAGAACCAGGGGGGGAGGAAAATACCAAACAGCTGCGAAATACAAAGAGCCTGACCAGGAGGAGGAGGAATGAGTAGGGCCGAAATGCACCCTCCGTTCACTGCCTCCCTTCCTTCCTTCCTTCCTTCCTTCCTTCCTCCTACCTCCTTTCCTCCTCCCTCCTCTCCTTCCTCCTCGGGCCCTCGCCTTCCCAAGCCGCAAGCCTCAGGAACCTTTGCATCGCTAGGACGTGTGCATCTTTCTCAGCGAGGGCCATCGAGGAGCATCTTGGGTTCTCTTGCGAGAAAGAAGCGCACGAGATCGACACATGCACGGTGCATGGACGTCCGAGCGATGGCGAGGGAACGCGGATGGGCGATTCGGGAGGTTCCGATCACGAGCCGGGGCATTTCCCAGATCGTGTTGTGTTGTATCGTCTTTTGGCATCGCTCGGACATGTACATGTTCTCCCGGCAGGGACCATCGAGGAGCATGTTTGTTCTCGTTGCGAAGAAGTGCACGCGCGAAACCGAAACATGCACAGGGAGTGAACGTCCGAGCGATGGCGAGGTTTTGCCTCACCTGATCGGATTTCCCCCTTCGTTCCCGGAGTTGCTTGGTTCGCCCTACCGTGTGCTTAGCTCGTCCTCCGCGCGGCACGAGCTCGCCGCTCTGTTGTTGTGCCCGTCTCTGTTGTTCGTGCTGCCGCCTCAAGGGGCTCTGGAAGTCCCATGCAGAGAAAATGGTGGCGTCGACAGTTTGGAGGAGGAGGGGGAAAAAGGAGGAGGAACAGCACCACGAGGAGGGCAGAGGAGGGAGGATGTGGAGGGAGGGGGGCGAAGGAGAAAATCAAAGTGACTGCGTTTAGCGACAGCAGAAGCCAATTGCGCTTGATGGCGGAACGTCATATCTGCACGCGCTCTTTCCCGGGCTTCGCAGACATACGCGCAGTACGGCGAACTAGCGACACTATTCTCAATCGGTCCCTATGACCACAGTAGCTTGAGAATGGTCGCCAAGCGCGGCTCGCTCCAGGGGCGCGAACCAAGAAGGAACGGGAGGTAGGGACGAGGTTGGATGAGCGTCTTGCTCGTGGGGGGGCCTCCGTGAGTGTGGGGGGCCCACTGCCACGGATGCACTTGCTGTGAAAATTATGCGGAACGCGCTCAGATTTTTAAACATGAAAAATATAAAGAAAGAATGCAACACAATGATATATGCCGATTCATAGAAGTTTATTTCCCGGACCCCCCCCCTAAACCAGACACACACACACACACCCCAATGGAGGCCCTGGACACCTTTTCGGACGTCTCGGCGGCCCCCTTGACGCCCTTGGAAAAGGACCGCTGGCCCTTCCGGGCCTCCCAGGGCGCCTTGCCAGGCCTTGAGAGCAGATTCAAAGCGATAAGACGGGTCATCGGAGAGGCGCAAGAAAGACCCAGGACAGCACAAGAGCGCTCCAAGAGGAACCTCGATTGTCCGAAGACGGTCCACGCGGCCCCCAAGACGCTCCAAGAAGCCGTTAGGAGAGCCCCGAAGAAACACAAATCGTTCACTCCCTTGGGAAAATGTATATCTGTAGCATCTCCGCTTTTTTGGGTCTTCGCAGCGTCCAAGACGGCCCGATGGGCCCCCGATATCGCCCCAAAACGGCCCAAGAGGCCCTTGAAGACGGCCCGAGAGGACCCCAAGACTGCCCCAGAGAGCCTCGAGACTGCCCACAAGCAGCCCAAAATGCCCCCAGAAGGCTCCCAAGAGAGACACGAAAGCCATGGGAGACCCCCAAGAAGGCCACTGGAGGCCCCCAAGAGAGCCCTAAATGGTTTCAGAAGACCTCTGGAGGGCCCCAGCTCCCCAAGACGGCCCAAGAAGGCCCCAGGACGCCCCAGAAGGGCCCCAGGACGGCCCAAAAGAGTCCCAAAAATGTCCGGACGGTGTTATCTGTGCGCTCCTTGTCTTTCTCTCTCTCTCTCTCTGTCTCTCCCTTTTTTTTTTTTGTTCTCTCTCTCTCTCTCTCTGTTTTCCCCTTCCCCCCTGTGACTTTCCGTCGACCACGTTCGTGGCACCCGACGGTCATCCGCATTCGCCCGCTCTTTCCTCTGGCCCTTCTCCCCGTTCCTCCCTCACTCCCCCCTCTTCCGCCTCTCCAGTCCCCCCTCTCATCCTTGTTCACTTCCCGTTCCCCGTTCATGGACAAGTGCCATCGCAATAGTTTGTTGCTTCGTCGGTTGCCAGCATCTTCGCGCGTGGAAGAAATCCTTCCTGCCCCACTCCTGCGCACATGCGTGCAAGCGCATCGGGCGAGCGCGGTGTCAGCAAGCACCAGGGATATCATACAAATGGGCCGATCGCACGTCCAGGCCTCGAGGCCCCCCCCTGCTGAAGCAAGCGTTGACTTATTGTTTTGCCGGGGAAGCGTCCGGAACAAGGCGCATGGCGCGAAGCGCCAATGCAGTTTTGTATTCGTATATATACATATATTTGTATGTGCGTGTGTGTGTGTGTGTTATTGGTGGATCGTTGCGCAGGGATTGGGATCGGGGTGAGGTAGATTTCCCGCAAGGGGGCCGAACACGCAGCGTGGGTCTGGGCCGGGGGGTTATCATCTCCGGGGGCGGTTCGAGTGCGCGGGGGTAATCGCGTTTCAGGCGTAGCGTAGCGCGAAACGGGCACGTAACATATCGATGGACGGATTAGAGGGACGAGCGGACATAATAGGCGTACGTCAGACAACGATGGACGGATGAGGCTGAGAAAGAGGAGGAAGGGAGTGAGGAGGGGTAGCATGGCGGGTGTTCAGACAGGGAGTGACAATCGCAAGCGGGCCAGTGCGACACCGAACCAACGCTTCATTATATAATGCGCTCTTTTTGGCGGCGTTGCCATTCATTTCCCATACAACGTATGTGGTTGCGTGATCAAGTGTACCACGTGTAATTTCTGCGTGGCCCGAGGCAGTTTGTGCGAGGTAAGCTGACTGGACTGGGGTGCTCGCGCCCGTTAGCAGGCAATGATCTATCCGGCCGCTGAACGCGCAGGTTATGGCGCAACCGATGGCAGGCCGTTGTGTTTTAGGCCGCCCTGTGGGCAACTTCTCGCGCAAACAAGGGCAGGCAAAATTGTTTTGTAGGCCGACAGTGCGCAACGAGTGGCGCAGCCAGCAGCGGGCAGTGTCGGTCTCGGCCGCCGAATGTGCACATGTTGCCGCACAGCCAACAGCATGCCGTTCTCCTATCGTCCACCAAGTTTTCAGCCCAAAGCGCAACCAAGGGCGCTCCGGCTTATATGTTGCAGTTGTATGGGCAACCTATATACGTACAGTGTGGGCGCGCATCATGAAACCAAAAGCGCTTCGTCAGGGTATCCTGGGCTTCTTCGTTCCGCGCGCTGCGCGGTGACTTCCCAAAACCGTCGAAGAAGTTGCTGCGTTCAGGGTGCTCCAGGTTTTTTTCCCAAATCTGCAGAGGTGGCCCTCCGACTAGATTTTTTCCAGTGCGCGGCCCAGGCAGAGTTCCCGACACATTCTCCAGGGAGAGTTTTCGTGCTGCCCCTGAGATGCGCCTCGCGCTCGGGTTTTCAGGGTTGGCTTTCTTGCTAGGTCTTCTTGCGGCCGCGCCCGCACTGTACATCAAGATTGCGTTCGGCGTCGCACCGACAAGTAGACACTCTGCGTGCCCCCCCCCCAGGGGCGACGCGCGTGCGCCGAAGGACCTTATGCTAGAAGCTCTGTGGCGGGCGCTTCCCGGCTACACCGCTCGGGAAACGATGCGCCGCGAGACATTTGTACTAGGTGCTCGGGTCGGGCGCACGCCTCCGACGAGGACACGTAGCACTGGTATGTCCTTTTGTGTCCAAAGCGTGCCTCACATGTTCGCAGTTGCGGCGCACCTGAACGCTCACCGGCCACGTGCTGTTGCTGCTGCTATTGCTGCTGCTGGTCGTCTTCCTCGTTGCCCCTGTCGTCCGCACGCTGCCTTCGAACATGTGCCATATGCGGTCTCCTGGCCCGATGTGGCGTGCTCCCCGTCGTCGTCGTCTTTTTCGACGTCGACGTCGACGTCGGCGTCCTCCCCGTTGCTTCTCGTCGTCGTAGACGCCCTCGTCGCTTCGCTTCGCGTCACTGGACGCCCTCGCCGACGCTGCGCGTCGCTCGACCTTGTCGCCATCTATCGTCTTCTGCCCTCCCCGCCGCTGCGGCCGTCCATCGTCGCTGCCGCCGCCGCGGGCCGCCGCCGCTGACATCGTCCGATCATCTGATCCAGTCAGAGTCGGCTCCCATATCCTGAGGAATCCTGGAAACAGGCCATCGCAAATCAGGTCTTCGCCAAATCCAAATGAAGAGAAGGACGAATGGGGACACTGTCGACCCACGGGTGCAGCACTCTCGGGTGAACCAAAGCCCTGGTTTATCAAAGTCCCCATTTACAGTATGTTCGTGTCGTGTCGACAGGTGGCGACCCCGCCGTCGGCGTTCAACATTGAACGCCGCCGGCGACCCAGAATCGGTCGACGTTGATCGATCTGACGTTTCGGAAACGGCCGATCGTTCAAGGCTGTAGGGTCCCCGCGGCGTCAGGAGCCAGCGCCGAAGCCGTCGCCACGCGAACCTGCCGCATCGAAGTCCCCCCCTCCCCGGGGCCCACCCCGGCCAGCTCCCCGAGACCGCGCCCACGGGGCCCGCGGCGACCCAGGCAGCGGCGCCCCCACAGGGCACCGAGACGACGCCGCCGCCGCCGCCTCGCCGCCGCCGCGCCGCCGCCGCCGCCTGCGAGCCGCCTCCGCCGCCGCCGGACGCCGCCGCGCCGCCGCGCCGCCGCGCCGCCACCGCCTGCGAGCCGCCTCCGCCGCCGTCGGACGCGCCGCCGCCGCCGCCGCCGCGCCGCCGCCGCCGCCTGCGAGCCGCCTGCGAGCCGCTCGCGGCCGCTCCGCCCGACGGCGGCCTCGCGGGGCCCGAGCGGCTGCGTGCCGCAGGGGCGCGCCCCGGCCCCGCGCGCGCACCCCCGGCCCTCGCGGGGCTCCGCGCCCCGCAGGCGGAGGCTCGGCCGGCGGCGCCGCAGCCGCCCAGCGTGCCCGGCCGCCGCCGTCGGCGCGCCTCGTGGTTTTGGGCGTCGTCGAGGTGTTCGCCGTCGTCGCTCTGCTCCTCCTCCTCCTCCTCCTCTCCTCCTCCTCGTCCTCGTCCTCGTCCTCGTCCTCGTCCTCCTCCTCGTCCACCTCCTCGTCCTCCTCCTCCTCCTCCTCCTCCTCCTTCTTCTTCTCCTCCTTCTCCTCCTCGTCCTCCATTCACTCCTCATCGTCCTCCTCCCCGTCCTCCATTCATTCCTCCTCGTGCTCCTCGTCCTCCTCCTCGTCGTCCTCCTCCACTCATGCCTTCTCCTCGTCCTCCATTCACTCCTCATCGTCCTCCTCCCCGTCCTCCATTCATTCCTCCTCGTGCTCCTCGTCCTCCTCCTCGTCCTCCTCGTCGTCCTCCTCCTCCACTCGTGCCTCCACCTCGTCCTCCGCCGTGGCGCTCGCAGGCCCGTCGCTGGATGCCCCGCGCCTTTTGCCTGCCTTCGTCTTCCTCTGGCATGCCGTGGGCGTGTCTCGCCGACGCTCTCTGATTCAAGACTCGAAGACATGAAGCGCCAGCGGTGCTCGTATCTTATCTTTTATTTAGTTATCTTATCGTATCAGCCTTCACGTCGTCGCCCCGTCCCACGCAGGGGAGACTGCAGCACCGCTCAAGGGTGTGCTGTTGAAGCGAACCTGCAGGGACTCTGCAGGTTCGCTTCACAAGCACACCCTGCAGCAGGGCGGGCCCTTTTCCTGATTCGTGCTTCGGTGCGGACCGTCCGCGCACCTCGTCTCCGTCGTCGGCCTTGTCGTGGTGCGTGCTGCTCTTCTCGGGACCTTGCCTCGGCACGGTGACCACCACCCCCCACCCCCCACCCCTCTCAGAAGAGGGCGATTTGAGACACCGAGAGCGCGGAGAGCGCTTAGCACCGAGGCCACATCCCATCATAGCAGAGTTGCGGGCCGCGCATAACAGCAAAAATCGTCCACGTCTTGAGTCAGTTACTGCACCTCATTCCTTTCCCCCACCCCCACACCCCTCTCCGAAGAGGGCGATTTGGGACAACTGCAGTCAGCGCGTGTCTTTACAGGGGAGAGGGGGTGGACCCGTCGCCACGGCATGGGCGGGGCCGGCCCTTTTGAAAAAAAACACCCGCCCTCCAGCCGTGAACCTCTTGCGAATGTTTACAACGAGTGCGCGCGGTGCTAAGGCGGGGGCCACATGCTGAGGCGGGGGCCACATGCTTGGAACCACCCGCCCTCAGTCCGTGGACCTCTTGGGGATGTCTAAAGCGAGTTGGCGGTGCTACGGCGGGAGCCACAGGTTGAGAACCACCCGCCCTCAAGCCGTGAAGCTCTTGCAGCATGTTATAAGGGATGTGCGCGGCGCTAAGGTAAGAGCCACATGTTGAGAACCACCCGCCCTCAAGCCGTGAAGCTCTTGCAACATGTTATAAGGGATGTGCGCGGCGCTAAGGCGGGAGCTACATGTTTAGAACCATCCGCCCTCAAGCCGTGAAGCTCTTGCAACATGTCATAACGGATGTGCGCGGCGCTGAGGCGAGGGCCGCATTTTGGCAACCGCCCGCCCTCGATCCGTGAAGCTCTTGCATTTTTTTGAACGAGTGTGCGCGGCGCTAAGGCGAGCCCTCAATCCGCGAAGCTCTGGCAAACGTTAAACAATGTTCGCGGCGCTAAGGCAAGAGGCACATGTTTGAAAAACCACCCGCCCCCCATCCGTGAAACTCTTGCACATAAAAAAAAACGAATGAGCGCGGCGTTAAGGCGAGAGCCACATTTTGAAACCACCCGCCCTCCATCTGTGAAACTGTTGCCACTTCTTTGGCTTCAGAGTCAGTGCTGGGCAGGAAGTCTCAGGCAAAACGCCCAGCCCGCCCCAAAAGCTGGCTTCGGCGTGCGACAGGGAGAAGTTCATTCATCAGGAAGAGCCATGGAGGAGGAGGTGCACCGAAGTAACTAATTTGGTCTGGAGGAGGAGGAAGAGGAGGAGGAGGAGGAGGAGGAGGAGGAGGAGGTGCACCGAATTAATTAGTTTGGTCTGGAGGAGGAGGAGGAGCAGGAGCAGGAGGAGGAGGAGGGCTCCCACCCTCGCGCGTGGGCGAGAGGCGCCCAGCGCGCGCCCTGCTGCCTCGCCGGAGAGGGGCGCCCCGTACGCCACCGCGGCGATGAGCGACCGAGACGGCATGGGCCCGCTGCGGCACCGCATGTTCGTCTGCGGACCCCCCGGCGGCGCGCGGCAAAAGTCGAAGAGCGAGGCGTTCGGAGTTCCTCGGGCCGGACGAGAGGGGGGGTTTTGGGAAAGGGGGGGGGGGACGAAATTTGCTGCATGCAGCTGGTTTCGGCCCCACCGAGGGGCCCCTTCCTCGATACATACATAGGCGCCGGGAGGCGCCGGGAAAATCAGCTACGTGAGGTGATTCTCACCCCCCCCCCTTTGCTATCCCCCCCTTTCGCCCGACCCGAGAAAAGTCGAAGAGCGAGACGTTCGGAGTTCCGTGCGGATGTCCTGGGGCGGCGCTCGGCATCGGAGAAGAGCGAATTGCGTCAGCATCAGATGCTGAAGCTCCGCGCGGAGTCTTGGATCTGCCCTGGGCCCTCCTGGCGCCGCTGCTGGCGCCGCTGCTGGCGCCGCTGCTGGCGCGCTCCGCGCGCCAGGGAGGGGGCCCAGCGTGGAGTCCAAAAACCCATGCGGACAGCGGAAAGTTGATGTTTATGCAGTGCTTGAACCCCCCTCTCCCACACTCCAAGCCTGCAGAGCGTGGTCGGAGCAGATGTGGTCGGAGGATCGCGCCGCATCGCCGATGCACCGTCGCCGTGGCTCGATGCCGCGCCGACGCCGCCGATGCATCGGCGGTGTGTCGGCGAAACGGCGCGCTCTTCTGGGCCCGTCCGTGCTGACCCCACTCGGGAGGCCTCGCGCTGGCCCCCCCGCGCGCGCTCCGCGCAGCGCGGGGAGGCAGCGCGGGGAGCGCGCGCCAGCGCGGACGCGGGCAGTGCGCACGGCCCTCCGGAAGCTGCACGCAGCCAGCGCCTCCGGCTGCTGTCGCCGGGGAGCAGTGCCCGCGTCTAGGGGGCCAGATGCGAACCTTACCCCACCCTCCCCCTCAGAAATCGTGGGGGGTAGGGGTAGGGTTCGCATCTGGCTCCCTAGCGTCTGCGCTGCAGTTCGATTGAGGAGTAAGCGGGCGCGCGCGCAGACCTTTCCAAGTTCGCGCGGAGTTCCGACAGTTTGTGTTCGCGCCGTTCTTGTTCTTCTGGTGGCATGGCCTTACATCTGGTGCCGCCGACCCTGAGGGGGGGCGACGGCAACGGCGGCGGCGGCGACGACGACGCTGACGCTCTGGAGCCTGTCTTGAGGCTCTCTTGGGAGCTTGTTGGGCTCTGTTGGGGGGGCCTCTTCGGAGACTTTTTGGGGCGCTCCGTGGCCACCTGGATCCGCCTCGGAGCAGATCCGAGGCGTCCTGGAGGCATGCAAGAAACCACGCGGCAGCCCGCAGCAGCAGATACGAGTGAGGAGGGTGCATCCAGGGGGGGTGGGGTCTGGGAGGAGGCCCGTATGGTGGTCCCCTTGTCCACAGGAGCGGGGGGAGGGTCCTCGAGTTCCCCCCTGTCCGAAGACAAGGCAAGGGGGGCTGCCCCCTTGTCCCCTTGTCCCCAGCAGGGACCCCAGGGGGAGGGGGGGGCACGACCCCTTCAACCCCCCCAGGGCCCCCCTCCGCTATCCTCCCCCTGGGACCTCCCTCCGCTACTCGGGTTGACCCAAAAGGGTGTCCATGCGACAAGGGGGTGGTGCCACAGATTTGGTGCAAAAGATTTATGGGGTTGCAGAACATTCTGGTCTGGGCGTGCAAAACATCCGTTGCGCAAATGTATTGCTGGACTTTCGCGCGCAATGCGCTATTGCAATACAATGCTATATAATTCTCTGGCGCAATACATTTGCAACAGTTGCCCGAAATCTATTGCACCTCCCCCTTTCAGCTGGACCCCATTTGGGGTCACCCAAAGCTATCCCCAGGAAGGCAAGTGATCAGAGGGAAGGGGCTCCCCCATCGAATACGTGACGACGTGGTTCGTGTTCCGTCCGCCTGGATCGCCTGAGGAGGAGGGCTCAGGGAAAGAGGAAGAGCGGCGACGGCGACGACGACTCGCAGGGAACAGCATCTCACGCAGGCCGACGGTCGGCGGATTCGGTAGCGAATCATGGGAGCCCTGTGTACCCTCGCATATCTGTCTTTAGAGTGCACTCGCATCGATCAGCGTTTGGTAATCGATGAGATGGTGCCGATGTAGCGTCGATCAGCGTCATCGAGCGTTGATTAGCGTCGATCTAGCACCTGTTCGAGTCGACGCAGCGTCGATTCGCGTCAATTCGCAAGAGCCAACCAGATGGTACAGGCGGCCCGGATTAGTAGGTCGACGTTGCCAAAGGGAGGCTCCCACGAGGCTCCCATGTATGGGAGGCCCTGACTGTATGGGAGGCTCCCATGAGTAAGTCCGACGGTATGGGAGGCTCCCACGTGTTGCCGCAGAAGGCGGATTCTACTACAGTCGGGGCCCTGAAGAAGGAACCCTTTTCGTTGGGGAGGGGCTCCGCGCTCCTCAAGTGTTTCACAGCTTGCCTCAGGGTTTTCCTTATGTCTTCGATCGGAAATCGAAGTTTCACTGATGGAAAAAAGGGGCCTCGTTCCTTCTTGGAGAGGCCTGACGGCCGGTGCCGCCGACCCTGATCGCAAGGGCTAGGAGTGAGTGGGGGGAGGAAGCGGAGGATGAGGAGGAGGAGGAGGAGGAGGAGGAGGAGGAGGAGGAGGAGGAGGAGGAGGAGGAGGAGGGGGGGGAGGAGGAGGAGGAGGAGGAGGAGGAGGTTAACTTATGGAAAACAGGGGCCTCGTTCCTTATTTGGGGCTCCTTCGGCCAACGCCCCGACTGTAGCATCGCGTGCCTCCCCCGTCCGCCACGGCCGGGCGCGGCTCGGGAGCCTGGCTCGGCGGGCGACGGAGGAGGGGCCCGCCGTGGGGGCGTGGGCGCTGGTCGGGTGCGGGGGCGAGTCGGGCGTCCTCGGAGGGTGCTCCGACTCTGTAGAGGTCCACGTGGCTCGTTCCAGAGAAGGCCTCGCCTTGGAGGGTCGAAGGAGTGGTCGTCGCCTCCTCGGCGGAAGGGTGGCGGAAGGCGGTGGAAGCAAAACGAGGCCGCCTCCGCCGGCGGAAGCCGGCGGAAGGGCGGCGGAAGGGCGCGGAAGGTAGCGGAAGTAGAAGGCGTTCCGACTCTGTAGTTCAGACGAGGAAAAGGTACCCACACCGCTACCCTTTTGCCGGTTTCCTCTTTTTCGGCCTCCTCGGAGGCCCTCGTTGCCAACGCTGGATTCGCCTCCGAATCCTGATCATAACGCAAACGGGCGAGGTCTGGGAAGTAGCCATATCGGTACCGCTTAGCCTTCCGAGTAGAGGTCCACGCCACGTAAGCGACGCAGAAAACCGTATTCTAGTGTGCGGACATTCGCGCGTAAGTTGCCTGCGCAGATGGGAGAAACAGATGGAACAAACAAGCATTGCATACACATGAATGTTCGGAACCCCGCGCGGAAACCGGCGCTGGACTTCTCTGGCAGTGGTCCATAGTAAGGTCATGCGAAAGCGCCCTCGTTTCCAATGTGGCGTGCCGCGCTGGCCTCACACGCAAGCAACCGCGTAAGGTAGATAGATGCCATCGTGCGTAAGGCCTGCTTCTGTTCGCCGCCCGCGCGCCTTCCAGGAGAGCCCCTTGGCACCCTCCAAATTACACACCAGGGAGGAAGCCGAAGAAGAACACACACATGCACAAGCATTGACGTCCGCATGTCCAAGGGGATCTCTTGGATCTGCGCTGGAACCCCCGGCCCGTCGGCGCCCCTGGCGTGCTCCGCGCGTCAGGAGTCTGTTTTTTCGATTCCGGCAGGTTTACTTGCATGGACGGGGGGGGGGCTTGAACTTGAAGTAAGCCGCAAACGACTTGCACGTACGGACACCACGCAAGTCGATAGGCACTTGCACGCCAGTATTTGCCTGAAGAGGGGCGCGGGGGCGAACGCCATGCAAGGAAACGTGCCCGAGTCTATATAGAACAAGCGGCTCCAGGGAGGAGGGCCCAGCGCAGACTCAAGACCTCCTCGCGGAGCCTCGGCTGCTGTTGTTTCGATGGCTCGGCGAAGAGGCTCCCTGCCTCCTGAAACGTCCGCCGCCCCGCTCCACATGGCCTGAGGTCGGGCATGTTCCCCTACAGGAGGAATCTTCAGTAACAGTGAAAACATTGGAACATGTCATAGTTATGTCTATTCTACATGTTTTTCCGAACATCCGCCTGAGGAGGTCACTCCCGATCTGACATTAGGTGTTCGATCATGGACCTTTGGTTGATCGCAACCGCCCAGTCGTCGCGCCGGAGACCGCCAAAAACGGCCGATTACCGTCAGAAGGCCGTCAGAAGACCGCTCAGAAGACCGCCCAAGGTTGGTGGGTGACAAGGGGTCCATGGGTGAACACGCAGCCCTTCTTGTGCGGCTCCGAGGACTCCACAGGAACATCCCGGAGGAGGAGGTCTTGGACGAGATGAGCCGCTTTGGCAAGGTCTTGGACGTCAAGGTACGCAGCTCGGTGAAGGACACCTTCGCCTTCGTCCAGTTCGGGGACTCGCGCTCCATCGAACGGGCGATCGAGGAGCGGGAGTCAAAAGAGGACAAGTTATAATAGTTTTCGCGTGTTTGGGCCTCCTGGGAGGCCCTCGTCGCCACGGGTGGATTCGCCTCAAAATCCTGGTCAGGAGCACACCCCAGGAGAGGTCCTTAGATCAGCGGCATCGGCACCTTGTGGTTCCCCTTGGGGAGAAGGAGGTGGAGGAGGGGGTTGGGGACTACTGCGATGAGTTCCGCAGGAGGATGGGCGAAGGACGACGACAAAGGGGCAGAAGGATTGGCGACGGGATGAGGGGAGCAACGATGAGGCGGAGGAGGAGGAGGAGGAGGAGGCGGAGGAGGAGGAGGAGGCGGAGGACGAGCAGAGACGACCTGGAGCAGCAGGAGAGATCTGGAGAGCTACCGAAGTGCTTGGCCCCACCCATCAGCTGGAGCTGGCCGGTGACCGAGGAGCTCAGTGGTCTCTCCAGGGCCCCAGAGGTCCCAGACCCCCTCGGGCCATGAGCAAAAACACGACGGGAGGTCTGTGGGGCCCTCTCTGGGCCTCGGGAGCGTTAAACAACGTTTCAGGACGAAAAACCGGCCGATGTTATGAAGGAATCATGACGTCGGGAGTCTGGGGTCCCCGGCAGCTCCGCCGAGGAGGTTTGCAGCGGCTGTGCAGCAGTGTCTTCCTCCGGCAGTGGCCTCCAGAGTCCTCGCGGAGGACTCTTGAGACCTCCTGAGCCCCAAGCATGAGCCAGAGGTTCCCGGAAAAAGTCCGAGCCCTCGAGCCCCTGTCGGCTGGACTCCCCCAGGCATCCGACTGCTCCAATGTTCTCGATGCGTGAGCCCTGGAGGTCCGGACCACTTCCCTTGGGCTGGTTTTTCGTCGTGAGTCGTTTTCTGACGCTCCCGAGGCCCGGCGAGGGCCCCGGGCGGCCAAACACCGCCCGCTCCTGCTTTTCCGGAGCGTGTCGGATCTCCATGGCCCCCAGCGGCCGAGGAGCTCAACGACTCCCGCGGCTCGCCCCTCGGCGACACCGTGAGCGCGAACTTTGCCACCGCGGACAGCAAGAGGGGCGGCGGCTCGGACTGGGCCGACGGCCGCGGCGGCGGCGGGCGCTGGGGCGGCGGCGGGGACCGGCGCGAGGACGCGCTCTCCCGACGCGCGGCCATCGAATTCTCGCCATCCTTCCCCGCCGTCTCGCTCTCCTCCGCCCTCCTCGTCATCCCTCGTCCTCCCTCTGTGTCCGTCTCATCCTCCCCTCCCCCTTCCCTCCCTCCTGCTCCCCCAGTCACACAACGGTCACACATCGTAGCAACAGCGCTGCTCCCCATCCCCCTCCGCATACCCCCTTATGGTCCTCTTGTTCTGTCTCGTGCTCGCGGTCTCGCACGAGACAACTCGTATGGTATCCTTTCCTCGTCCTCCTGCGCCCTTCCAAGCCCGAAGTGAGAAGCACGTTTGCCAATTCGCCAGTCGGTCGGGGGCGGGGTATAGTTTCTCCCCTGCAGGCCCAGCCTCTGGATCGAACGGGGTGCCTCTCTCCGCCTGCCGCCCTCTCGCTTAGTGCACTCGGGCAACAAGTTCTCCTCCTCCTCCTCCCCCTCCTCCTCCTCCTCCTCCTCCTCCTCCTCCTCCTCCTCCTCCTCCTCCTTCGTTACCCCCCCCCCTAGCGAGAGGACGGCGACCGCGGCAGAGGCGGGGACTGGAGCCGCAGGGACTGGGACCGCGGTGACCCGCCCGTCGCCGTCGAAGATCGGGGGGCTCGGGGCACCGATCGGGGGTGGGCACCTACGCAGATTCACCTGGTTGCCCCCTTCCATCCCCTCACCCTTCCCTCCTCCGCACCCTCCGTATCATCCGACTCATCCTCTCCCGTTCTCCTCTTCCTCCAGCGCCTCTCTCTCTCTCCGCCTCCTCTCCTTCCCCGTCCTCCTCCTCTACCTCCTCATCCTCCGCCTTCTCCTCCTCCGTCCTCCTCGTCCTTTTCCTCCTCCTCCTCCTTTTCCTCTTCCTCCTTCTCCTCCTCCTCCTCCTCCTCCTCCTCCTCCTCCTCCTCTTCCTCATCCAACTCCTCTTCCTCCACCGCCTCTCCTACCCCGTCCTCCTATTTCTCCCCCACCTCGTCATCCTAACGCCTCCTCCTCCTTCTCCTCCTTCACTCCTCCTCGTCCTCCGAGGCCGCCTTTTGCTGGGGCGGAGCGTGGCCGGGGAAAAATCGTGCGGAGTCGGTCGTGGCCGCCGTCGAGCCGCGCCGGGGGTCGCCGCCGCGGCGCGCCCACGTCAACGGCCACGGGGTGCGTCCTGGCTCCTCCTCTTCTCCCTCCTCCTCCTCCTCCTCCTCCTCCTCCTCCTCCTCCTCCTCCTCCGCCTCCGCCTCCTCCTCCTCCTCCTCCTCCTCCTCCTCCTGTGGCCCCCTCGGCCGGCGAGCCGGCCCGCCACGTGCTCGGCGTGGACTGCGGCAGCGGCGCCGTCAGCGCCCAGCTCGCAGCAGCGGGCGAGGCGGCAGCCGTGCACGACGCGGTGCACGGGCCTGCCTGCAGGAGGATGCGTCGGCCGAGCTCGTGCTGATGCGGTGCTGCGCAGGCGTCTGCAAAGTTCGGGGACCCAAAAATGTACACCACCACCACCTCCCTCCCCCCCTCTCTCTCGCTGGAAAGAGGAGAGGGGAGGAATCGACGTGGTGGTGGTGTGTATTCTTTGGGTCCCCAAAACTGGCCCTGCTCCGGGCAGCCGGCCCGACCCTCGGCCAGGAGGCGATAGCTCGGTACGACGGCACGCTCCGCCGCGCCACTGCGCGGGCCTGCGCGGCGAGGCGTCGTCTGCCCGGCGTCGCGTGGGCCTCTGCGAGGGGGGGGCTCGGCCGGTGCAGGGCCAGCGGCTCGACCCCGCCACCCCTCCTCCGCTTCCCGCACGGAAGTCGCGGCCTCGCGTGGCCGGCGCCTGCACGAGGCCCTCGCGCTCCGGCGGGGCTCGAAGGGATGCCTCTGCTGGGAGCGGTGTCGACACGCAGACGGCCTCCGCTCTGCAGGCCCGCGAGAGGCCGGGCTGCCCCCGGCTGCCGCGGACGGCGGCCGACGGGGCCGAGAGCGGCGGGCACGATAATTACAGGTTCCGCATGGGGGGCGCGCTGTTGGCCGGGGACGGCCGCGTCCTGCCCGCTGGGGCGGAGGGCCCCGAGCGGGCCCCAGACGGTCGTTTGCGGTCTCGCCTGGGGCGCGTTTGTTTTATTCGTTGTTTTGCCGGTCGGCGTGGGCCCTCGCCCCCCCCTTCCCCCCCCCGTGG